AACTGAAAACAATTTAAATTATTACATTTAGATCCAAATATATTAAATTGTTTCTTATTATATTACCTATGTCATAATTTATTTTGATTGCTGTAATTTCGCTTTTATCGTTATCTCAACACGAGTTCTGTAGTGTATTATAACTTGAGGCCAAAGAAGCAACTTTACGCATAGTACATTTCTGCAATGTGCAACAAATATTATAAAAAAGCCCCACATCATTTTTTTAACACCCACTAATAACAACATCAAAAACCAGAGAAACTATTCTGCCGTTTTGTTAATTGATTTTTAAAATTATATTTCGAATCGTGTGCTGAGTATAAATTAAACACACTAGGTAGTAGGTGAGACAATATCGCACGAATAAACTTGTTTTCGAATTCACACTTTCATATTGTGCGATTGTGATTTGTCGAAAAAATAAATTAAATTCAAACATTTCAAACAAAGATAGTATCACTGTCGAACCAAACTATTTTCATTTAATTGAATTCGGTTGGATGTCGTCGTCCGCGGTCGCTTTAAAATACTGCATCGTGAGATAATTTATTACAGATGCCCAGGGAACAGAATATTACGACATTTTTTAACAGCGAAAAAAGTAAAACTTTTTCAAAATAAGTCAACTTGTTACACGTGGGGCGAGTAACATACAGATCCGACGAATGAAAAATGAAAAATTGATACTAGTGAAACGTATGAAAATTATATATTATTGACTAGGTATTGCATAATACATAAGTCATTTAAGATTTACTTCTTTTAAGAAATCCCAAAAATAATATTTTGAACGACCATTAATTGTTTTTAAAAATTAGAATTACAAATTTTTTGTTTTAAAAAATTTTCCAAAAAAAAATTTATATGAAATTGAAATTATCTTATTTCCATTATTAAAAAATAATGTCTATAAATTATAAAAAAAAAAATTAGAATATAGATTAAAACAAAAGTTATTTAAATTGTAAAGTCACCGTCTGTTACGCCTTGTATGCTTGTTTTCATGGGATTGAACATCGGAATATAGTTTCAGACTAACATTTCATAGACAATATTCCCTTACAAAGTTACATGCAGTTTTCTAGTTCCCTATTTTCTTTGTCGATAATAATAAAAAGACACACGTGTGTGTCAGTAGGTTCACAAGACATGAGTGAATACCTAATTGAATATTTAACTTTATTTGGAAATATAATATTATATCAATTTATTATATATTATAATAAATACATATAATAATGAACGTATATAATATTATGTTATTTTAATTTGGTTAGGATATTTAACCAAATGTGTCAAAATTTCGGCTCTGGAAATGTCTATACAATACAGCGATCAGGGATCCTCAGCGAGATTAATCGTGTGACTATAAGCATTGCACAGAAAATTCACAACATAATATGCAGGTTGAAATGGTTAAAATATTTTAACATTAATAAATTATTATTCTGCTTCGTGTTGGTAGTGTACTAGTGTCATGTCGATGATCGTTTATCGATAATATTATTGTGTTGGACAAATATTTAATAAAGTAATAAAATATATTGCTTGTATCTTACCCTTTGGAGTGTTCATATTAACGAAACAAAAAATAAATAGTGTTTTCTGACTAACAATTAGCATTACATGGTTAGTGTTATTTGACAGTGTAAATAATGTTTGTGCGAAAAAAGTGTCGAAAACATTACAAATATTTAAAAAAATTGTTAAGTGTTTAGTGTACCTACCTGTTTTTGTAATGCACAAAAAAAACACAAAGTCCAACACAAAACAATTATTAGATAAACTATAGTATCGTGGGTGTTAGTTTATTGTGGCGACTGGCGAGCTAAGGGTAAACACCCAACGGGTAAAAAATTCATTTTGAGTAAATATACCCACATATTTTTTACGCAAATCGTATTTATCTTTCTAAATTTGGGTAGGTGTTTGATATTTTTTCAATGTATTTTATTTGTGGCTACAGTTATAATAAACTGTAACGGCATCGGGTGTTTCATCCCCATTTTATGTATTTTATTTGTAATTAATACAAACAACTTTTGAATTCATTTTTCTCATAACTTAAAACGTAAGATGACAAATATTATGCAATTTACTAAAAACGTATAATATATATTATATTATCCATACGATTGATTATACAAATAACTATAATAAGTAATAACAAACATCGTTACATATTAATTGATTTGAAAGTATTTGATGAGTTTTTTACCCTTAAATTTCAGTTTAAAGATCGTAGATAATATTTTATTTATGGATCGCTATATTTTTCCACTGCCAACTGTCCACCAAAGATGTATATATTCAACAAATATAATATTTTTTAGAGTGTTGTATTTAGCCTGAGACTTGCAACACCTGCTGATAAATGAACGAATGTTATTTAATTATTCTTTATTTAAAACAAATAATTATAAGATGATAATATAAGTAACGCAGTCTCTCACATTATTATAAATAACCCCCCTTCCCTAAACAATCACATTTTGTCAAATCTTAAAGCCCTAATAAGAGTCTCCATTTGTTAATGAAAAACTCAATCCCCTACAATTTTACTTTTACCGTAAGTATTACATATTTTGTTTAATTTTCTATATTAATTTTTAATTTTAAAATGATTATCTAAATGTATAGTAAAATTAAACACCCATCATTTTGGTATTTTGATCTTCAAACACAGCTGTCCGATTTATGAAAATCAGAATTTGGCACCCCGGGCTATTTTTCGCATATGAGCCTTTTCCCCTCGCATAAATAACGAGAGTATTTATTCTAAATACTTTTACTGCTATAGTGTTTACCCTTCGGAAATCATAGCCATCATACTGTTTATACTTTATAATCATTGATTAAAATATTCTAAAATCAATGGTATATAAATAACGGATAAAAAATATATAATATTATGGAATCTCGGCGGTCGTGTAGCTAAATTGCATATTCGGAACGCCGTGATACAATATAGTTTTTAAAATCCATAAGAAAAACCGTATTACACTACGAGCGCCTGCCGTCTGGTGAGTTAGGACTCTATGGGATACCAAGAAAATGGTACCGATTATCGATGTCAGCATAAACCGATACCGGTAAGTATATTTTCGTAAAATTAGTATTGTTTTAACATTAACGGAATTAATGAGCCATGTGTGGTGTGTACAAAGTTTGGATTTTTAAGACATATAATTTATACTTAGGTAGGTACTAGCGATATAAACTAATACGGTTACTTGCTTGCGAGTATTAATGCTATTTATACTAATATTTACATTGTGGCCAGTGGTCACTGAATTTATATCCAGGTCGAGCTAAGCGACCGCCGCACTGCAGTGCTTCCCTAATTATAACTATGTTATCTTAATTGCCCGATATTCTATTTTTGTAATATTATTTCTCCATTTTATCTCCAACCCCAGGTATGTATTTGGAAATGTATCAATATTTTTCATCCCAAGTTATAACTATATATGAATAAGTTATAAGACATTTTCTATGTGCCCTGGGTTACATCTCCGTGTTAATGTTGAAATGTAGGTAGAAACCAGTAAAACACAATTGAGCATAGAATCTTTTATGTGAAATTGCCTCATCCAAAACGACATATTTAAATTTATTATTTTTACGTATTGTTGCATCAGTTATTATATGATACCGAACTTGCACGAATCACTGGCTGTGCGAGCCGTGAAAATTAGCATTTAAGTTTTGCAACTGTTCCCAAATTATTATAATTCAACTTTTCATTAGTGAGTGTTCGATCACCTAGTCCTTGGCATACTACATACGTCAGAGCGTTACAAAAGTTTTAAGCTCGATTTTTTTTTTTTACTTCTATAAGTTTAAATATTAGTCTAATTATATTACCAGAACGCGGCAAAGAATTAGATATATGTTAAATGTGTGTCGTGTGTGAGTGTAAAATAATTTCTGAGCGGGAAAAGGATAATCTTTTGAGATGAGTTTAGATAATAAGGACTATAAAATCATTTTATTTGTTTAACTCATACCATCGGCAGGTATTTGTATCATTATTATACCTAATTGCCTAATAACCTATAACCTAACCTTGCCACTGGTTATTGAAAATAAAATAGTTGTCACAATTGGAAATAATTTTCAGAATTGTATTTTACCAGTTGTGTCTCACCGTTAAAAATACCTAGTCTACATAAATTAAATCGTTTTTCATTTCGTTGTTTAATATTCGGTGTAATGGTGTTTAAAGCTTAACAAATTGCATCGATCATCTTGAATGCTTCCTTAGTCCCACTTACATCGCTGTACTAAGTTACAGTGAAAATTCCAAGCCTCAAGCTATCCTTTTTTAGGCTCCACGCGTTTATCAGTCAAGATAATTCATTTTTATTATATTATATTTTATATACAAAAAAAATTGTAATCTCGCCTGAGGTTTCCGATTAGACATGCTTGCGATCCTGCGAGCAGGATATTTTCAGGAGTAAATATACCCCGTGAGGTGAGTACGCAATTACGAATGTTTTATTAACACGTACATTTTTATGTTTTTAAGTTATTTTTATATAGGAATGGATAAAATTAGAAAAAATACAAAATCCTGTATGACATTAACGACATTTATGCGGAGGTAATATGTGTGCCAAAAGATTCTGGATAACTATTTATAATCAATGGTAGTACTCCGTTCAAGGAGTTCAGTATAGACAATTAATTCTATACAATATTTTTAATTTTATTTATTGTAGGCAATTCAAAATGTATGCTCTTATAGTCATAGTGGCACCTTTTATTTTTCTTGAAAAAGTCGTAAAAATAAGTAGTAGATAATCATCACACTACTACATGTCTACATATATTATGTACTCATAGAGTCATACAATGTAGCAATATTGTGATTTGTATAATAATTATTGTATAGTTAAAAAAAGAAACAGATAATGATTTATTATAATATAGTAATAGGAGATAGGTACTTCCTAACCTAACTTTCGTGGTATTAAAAAAAAGTACCAGTATAAATATATTCATGTAAACATCTACTTTCGTTTGTAGCTATGTGCTATTCAACACTATTATTTTAATTATTTTACATACAATTATTGAATTATCTGTAATAAAACCTACCAATCAGTATCACTAGTGTCTAGTAGAACATTATATAATTCTGTCAAAATATAGTCCAGGAAAATGTATGATCTATCCACCATTTTAATTTTTGGGAGATTACTGATACACATTTTCATGATTTTGACAAATTTTGTCAAAATTCTAACTTCAGAAGCTCATGAAAAATTACTATGAATTTATATTAACTTTATTGATCAGTATCACAGGTATTACATTAGGTTCAAAATGATGACACTCGGGGCATTCAAATTTTTCATCAACCATTCTCTTTGACTGTAATAACAATAAATTATAATTTAGAAAAATAATAGAGGTACAGTATTTTTTTTCTACTTACACTTATACAGTAGTAACAAAACACATGGGAGCATTTAAGGTGATGTGGTAACACAGGTCTCTCTCGACAAATACTACAGACTGAAACTGGAAACATGAGCGGCTGCCTTTCTTTGAATTCTTCTTTGCGTGGTGCAAAATGCATTACTCTGGATATTTTATGTTTTAAGGACTGATAATTGATCAAAGGCAATGTGAATAACAACAGCTCCTATACATTTCAACATAATTTAAATATTATTAAAATGCAGACAAGTAAAAAATTTGATAACTTGTACAACCTAAATTAAAGATAAAAATATATAAATCAATCAAATTTTTAATAATGACTACTATTTTCAAACCAAAGTTGAAAATTTTAAATATTTTGTTTGAAATATAACAAAATAAACCGATTTGAGATTTTACTTTAAAATGTTTGTTTGAATCATAGTTGATCAATCCATTAAAAATAATTAACTATTAGGTATTATAATTACAAGAACATAAACCTAATATTATCTATTTCTATCACATATAAAAACTATTCCCTGAATTTCTTAATATGTAGCCAACTATTCAGATATTCAGATAAGTTGAAACATATTATATTATGTTATGTCAAATATTATCAAAAAAAACTACTGAAGCAATATTGATCAAGTGCCTTACTAGTAAACACGGCATGTAGTAATTTAAAATGTTTTATGGTTTTAATTTTAAGTTATAACCAATTAAAGTTAAAAATAAATTAGTATTTATAATTTCTTTAATCACGAGTTTTAAAAAATCTTTGTAGAACACAAGACTGAAACTTTTTTAGATTACATTCAAGCATAAAAAATTTAAATACTTTTTTGTGGTAGTCAGATTTGCACAGTAAGACGGAGAAAAAACGGTCTAACGAAAATGTTTCTTTGCTGCTTTGATGATGAAATATATGATTGAGTTCTAGAGAAAAGTTATTAGTTTGATAATAAATAAAAAAAAGTCACCAATAGCATAATATGTATAACTTTTATATTTAAGTCACAAAAAGTAGTTATGTACATATAATAACTGATAACTAGATAGCTGATTTTGGTGAAAAATTTAGATGATTTATTCATGATAACATTTGTTGAAAAAATTTATTTTGCATATGAAAGCATATTTTGGATATTAGAGAATATACATTGCAGCCTGTATTTCACAACTAACAATATGTTGTTTTGTTGTATATAAAAAAATCATACTTGTGAAACTCTAAAGTTGTAATTTGTTATTTCCCTGCAAATTAGGTTTTGCAAAAAATATTTTTTAATACAAAATTATAGAAATTGGTAAATAACTTGATACTTATTAAATTAGAAATTATTTCATTGTGTCGAATTTGACTGAATTTAAATAATTTACCAAAGAAAAGGTGTACAATAATTATTTTTAAGATTAAGCATCTTTTACATGAAGTGCAGGTTAATGGATAGTACACAAAAATACTATACATTTAAAAAGTTTAATGTAAACAACATATACTATTAATTATTATACATGTTTCTTAGTGTAGCAATAATTATAATGTACAAATTTTTAAACTATTTGAAGTAAAATAAAAAGCATATTTTCAGCATATTTTTACATTTTAATGATTATTCAGAAGATATTTTGAGGGTTTTTAGAGCATATTAGAATCATATACTAAATTTTGAAGAACCTAAAACTTCACTTTTTACTAATAAGTAATGTTATAAGATATTGAATTGAAATATCAATATTGTTCTGCATCACTAAATATTATAATAAATATACATATTAAAGTATTATTATAATTTTATAAATTATAATGTAGACTACAGGCAATGTGATACATACTGAAAAACCATGCCATAGAAGCTCTCTCGTCATATGAGTATATTCAATATTTCTTTTGCGGGTTGGCTCTTGTGAAAGACTTAAAAACCTTTGAGTCAATGTCGGGTACTTGCCTTGTTGCAAGAATAACAGAAAATTCAAGAAAGAACCCACTTTCAAAACATCAACAATTAATTGTAGGTTAGAAATCTATCTGAAATTTACAATCATTAGATATTTTAACAGTTAAATTATATATGATATATGATTTACATTGTTTATATAATTGTTTGAAGGACTTTCTACTTTTGATTGTATATACTCTGCTCCGACTGTAAACAATTGATACAGAACTAACTTTGTGTCAGTCAGCTGGTCTGGTTTGAATCTAATTCCAAGCATTTGTTGACCAAATGTTGCTTTTGATTTTGTGACAGAATACTAAAAATAGATTTTTATGTAATACATGCATTTAATAAATTAATCAAATTAAATATTTCCCACTCACGTATGTCATTAAGAATTGTAATATAACATTTATTTCCAACTCGCAATTGTTTAAAATCCATGACTGAAAAAAAAATTAATTAAAATTTAACATCAAACAAACATAAGCAAAAAAGGGTTTTTACTTTTTATAAAATATAAAATTCTGATATTATTATACTTTAATTTTTAACTATAGGTAGGTACCTAATTAACTATTTTATTAAAATATGGTTTTTTTACGTTTGATAAAACATTGTCAATAAGTTTCTAGTAAAAAAATGTAGGTACTGACCGGTAAGTACTTAAAAACCTTTAAAGTCTGGCCAATGAATATTTTGGAAATGTGATCATCAAGTACAAGAGCATCTAGCTAAAAAAAAAACAAAAGTAAATTATTGAATTTAAACACAGACATGCAGCCATGCAGGTTCATTTGTCTAAGTGTTTGAAAAAAAAATATTAATTCAAACATTGAGCACAGTTGTTGAACGAGTACAATTTAGTAACTTGATTTATCCAAGTGATTTTGTAACATCACATAAACCGACAGTATGCAATATAACTGTACGTTGTAATAGTTAATTATTTTTTCAAACTTACCAGAGTCACCCGAGGTACCATCATGATAGCTTTGACTAATTGTGGACCACAATCAATATATGGCAGGACACAATCAAAACCTAAAGACACCACATGATTTAAAAGTTAATAAAATATATACCATAACTATTTTGAATAACACCCAATTGTATAATATTCTGATATCTGATTCGTAGCTAACGAATGCAAGTCTTCAAACACCCTAAACAATTTAAAGTATTTGACAAGTCACCATTTATTTATGATAAATTATAACAATCAAATAACAATGATAAATCAATATTTATAATCACCATGTACAGACCAAAATTTAAGATATTTAACTATGGTTGTATACTTATATAATATAGTGTAATATGTGAGTGGTTAAGAATTTAAGATCACGGGCTGGATTAGTATTAGATTGGTAATTACTGTTTAACAATAAATCGTTAACACAAATTAGTCATAAGTGAGGATAAAAATTAATTATAATCATATAAGTATTATTCATAAATCAAATATCTAATATCTATGCTCTAGAGACAATATTATATTATAAATCATTTAAATATATCATAGATATTATCATGACATCAAAACTTACTTATTGCTAATTAATTAATTCTTAAGCATCTATAAAATATACACTATACACTATGGTAGTTCACGAACAATATAAATCATAATTACGATCCATAGCATAATGAATAATTTATAACACTTATGTTCAATTATTTGGTAATTACAATAATATTGTTAAATCTACACACATTGTAATCACAGAAATGAGCTATTTGATTATTTCTATTCTGTGGATATAATATCACGATTAAAGATAGTACTATCTAGTACTATCTTTAATCTTGATACGACCAGAAACCAGAGTAACCGGCCTGCAGCGGTATTCTGTAACCGCTGCTGGTGGCTAGTATACCATACCCAACCAATGTTTATAGAATCCATCGTTTTTTGTTCCAAGAGCAACTGGATGTAGTTGTACCTCCGTAGAAGTTAACTGGTATCATACAATTTTGAACCGCTTTAAAAATGTGTATAGCCGTAATGCTGTAAAGCCTATAAACATTTGTGAACTGTTCAATCAAACGCGGTGACTGAGTACTGAGTGTTTACACTGAGTCGCGGACGCCGAGACGCTTTATGCCATTGGTCCTAGATTTTAATAGTAATTTTGTAGTAACTATATCTATACTGTATGTAATAACCTAAACCGAATCCGCCATTACGAGATTCTTACACTAGCGGCTTTCACGTTTGGCACCCGTTCTCGGATTCCCGCCATAGTTCATCTTGCTGTTGGCTGTGAGTAAGTTGTGTTTGCTCTTTTGATTTACTTGCGACCCGCGAGAGTTTCGTTTTACTACCAGTCCGAGTTCTGCCGTAGCTGTTGTTTTTTGTCTCCGTCATCTGCTCTCATTACCTCCGGGTCCCGAAAACCACGAGGACGCTTGCCGCGCTGAATACCTACGCTCATCGTGACGCCGTGTGCGAACATCTGAATAGAATCTCAAGCGGCTTGTACACAAGACATACGGTGCGAACATGGCGGCCACCATTGCTGGAGTGTTTCACCCTGAATTACAAAATCTCATCAAAGAGTCCAAAGTCCTATTGGTGGGCGCGGGTGGTATTGGCTGCGAGGTTCTCAAAAACCTCGTGTTGACTGGATTTGGCGAACTGGAGGTGATCGATCTGGATACCATCGAAGTGAGTAATTTGAACCGTCAGTTCCTGTTCTCCAAGGAGTCGGTGGGCAAAGCTAAATCACATGTCGCTAAAGATAGCGTACTTAAATTCAACCCTAACGTCAACATTACGTCGCACTTGGGCGACATTATGGACACTAAGTATGGCGTGGCGTTCTTCAATAAATTCCAATTGGTCATAAACGCTTTAGATAACAAGAAGGCGCGTAGCCATGTGAATCGTATGTGTCTCTCATGTCAAATCCCTCTAATTGAATCCGGTACGATGGGCTACAACGGTCAAGTAGAGTTCATTAAAAAAGGAGTTAGTATGTGTTATGAATGTAATCCGAGATCTGAACCCAAGACTTATCCTATGTGCACAATCAGAAACACGCCCAAAGAGCCTATTCACTGCATCGTATGGGCGAAGTTCTTATTTAGTCAATTGTTTGGTGAATCCGATGAGGATGTCTCCATGGAAGAGGCTGATCAAGATGGTTCCGAAAAATTATCTGCCCATAATTGGGCAGTTAGAAACAAGTTCGATCCAAAGAAATTATTCAAAAAAATATTTTTTGACGACATCAACTATTTGTTGAAAATGCCAGACTTGTATGCTGAAAAGAAAATAAAACCTGTTCTTTTAGACGAATCGCTCTTAGATCAAGAACATGTTGAGTATAGTCATGTACTCGACAGTGATATGTTAACCCTACAACAATGTGTTTCGATGTTTATAGATAGTGTTACTGATATTAAAGAAAAATGGGAAAAATCCGAGAATTTGAGCTTAATATGGGACAAGGATGAAGATTCGTTTATGAACTTTGTTGTGTCTTGCAGTAATATACGATCAGCGATATTCAATATTCCTTTTAAAACTCATTTTGATATCAAGTCGATGGCAGGCAACATTATTCCTGCCATTGCCACCGCAAACGCAATCATTGCTGGACAAATCGTTATCCATGCCTTAAGAATCCTTCGAGGAAATTATGAACGCTGCCAGAGTGTTTTCCTAAGAAATATGCCTAACCATAAAGGGGGAGTACTAGTAAAAGACAACCAACTACAACCACCTAACCCTAAATGTGCGGTGTGTTCCTCGGAAGGAGAAATTATATTGATGACTGACGTGGACAATTTTACTGTAAGACAGTTGGAAGACCTTGTATTGATGAAAAAACTGAATATGGTTGCACCTGATGTGACAATATTCGATAGAGTTATAATATCCAGCGATGAAGAAGATGACGTAGACTTGTACCATAAATCGTTAGCAGAAGTGGGTTTGATTGACGGATCCAGCTTTGTGGCAGATGATGTATTCCAAAATTTTAGTATAAAAATAAGGATATATCACGAAGAAAAGTCTGATGAAGAACAGCCGGATTTCCAAGTGTTCAGCACTATGAATGATTTGCTTACTGCTAATGAAATTAAAAAAGAGGAAGAATCTGAAAATGACGAGGATGATTGTGTGATGCAGAAGGATGTAAGTTCTGTTGGAAAAAGTGAATGTGACAACAATGAAGATACAGGAGATTCTAATCATGTATTGGTTAGCGAAGAAAACATCAGCAACGAAGAAGAAGGTGAAGAAGAACTGGCTTACGAAGGTGAAGAAGAAATGGCTTCCGAAGAAGGTGGAGAAGAAATGGCTTGTGAAGAAGAAATTGCTTACGAAGAAGGTGCAGTAGAAATTGATCATGAAGAAGTCAGCGATGACGAAATTAGCAATGAAGAGATATTAGCAATCAAAAGAAAAGCTGATGATGCGGTTGAAGACAGTGATCCTAAGAAAAGCCGTACGGACTAAAATACTTTTAAGTGATTTCTATTAACAGTCAATTTGAACTGATGTATCTTAATATACATATTCAAACATGAAACAATAATGTTGATTTACCTATTTTGATGTTCCTCTTTAGTACTACTGTTACTTAGTAAATTTCATATTCTAATAATCAGACTAGGTACATCAAAATTTGTATTTTCATGATAGTGTGTATTAACTGCTAATTATTATTTTTTGCTAACCGACTTATAAAGAAGAAATTAATTCATGTATCAATATTTTTTATTTATACGTGTATAGGTTTAAGGTTTTAGCTTGTATGAAATTTTATTTGTATTGTCTTTGAGATAAAATTAAAACTAACTCCCTGGTTAAATTGCTTAAATGATTTTTAAGAACTGACTTCACTTTTTATTTGCAAAATCTTTTTTATTAATTTTATTGAACTATTAGGTAATGACTAACAGTTGAATTAATGCTTTGACCTCGTACAATTAATATATGATTATTGTACTTTTGTAGATGTATTCACATACTTGGTGTTTTGTATTGAGGTAATAGTTGTCTACCTCCAACATTATAATATTTCGTAAATTTACCTTTTAAAGCACGAAATATGATGTTTTTTATTTTTGAATATAATCACTCTTAATTTATGTTGTAATAAGAGTTATTTTACAACACCAAAACCATTGTTACCAATATATATGTATAAATAAGCTAACCTAACTAAGATACATCAAAGCTAAGTGTTACTACTTAGTTGTCGTAATATAAAAGAAGTTTATTCAATAACTCCCAGTTGGAATTTTTTGAATTTGTTACGTGTGGTTTAATTTGTTTTGATTTTGGTTCAGGCTACTAACAACAATACATTAAAATAGAAGCTTTAATCATAAAGCATTAGGTTAAGTCTACAACTAATTCTACCTGAATTAATGGAATAAGTTATTTTGTTGTATTATTAGAAGATTTGATTGTGAATCAGTCTAAATCTAACTTTTTTTTTTATTGTATAATATTGATAAAATATGATGAAACTTTGCAGTTTGCTCAAATACCCTATAGGCAGCTGCTTAATGCAGAGAATGTACACGACACAGTAGACAAGAATATTTTAAAAATAAAAATGATTTCTCAAATTTAAAAAGTAATAATTCATGCTGTGTACTATTTATGTATCTACAATGTCAGTCGTTATGTATTTCACGGTTTTTTTTGCATTTATTTGTCTATTCATAAAATAAGTAACTCAATTTAAGTATAATTTTTAAAAACATGGTTATAAAACTCATTTTATAATGACATTCCAAGTATACTCTACACTTTTTGAGGAGATGCCAAAAATATTTATTTTTGAAAGCTATGTTATGTACTTATAATACCTTGCCTATATGTAATTAAGTTGTTATTCGTTTTTTGTTTGACAATAAACATAACTCATAAGAAAAATTGAACAATGTATCAATTGTTACCCTAATTCTAACAGCTCCAAGATTCATTCTTAAGGTTCTCAAAAAAATCAGTACATTATTCCACATTTCCTTAGAGTAGGAAATTAATCATACAATGAACAATCACACAATATTGGTCATTAAAACGGATTTTTATGATCTAATATAAAAAAAATGTACAAGTAAACCTTGGACTTAATACATTTTAAAACATAAAAATTATTTTAATATGAACCACTGTGATATACTTAACAGATAACTTTTGTAAGTGACCTAACCTTTATCTATTTTCTTTAAGAGGACACTACCCATGTATTTGTTGTCTCCGCCTTACACATACATTCGACATGCCAAATTTCCATTCTCTTGTTCAATAGTATGCTGTTAGTTGTGACATTATAATCAATGAGCCCACTGTCAAACATTTAGGTGACAGGTAAGAACTAAGAACATTATCTGTGATTAAGCGTCAGCTTTATTCAATTTTTTAATTTGTAATATTTCACATACCCATATTTTGCTTGAAAAATATAGGATTAAACCAAATATTGTATGTAAGGCAGTGCTCTACATTTTTCTGAAGCGGAATGGATTTTTTTTCAAATCTACAAAATGTTAGTGGTTTCTTTCTAAAATGCTGACTCTTTTTGACATTAGTTGTACTTACTGAACCAAATTGAAAAATACTAAATATTTAGTTCGGTGGTTGTACTATTCTTATGGAACTAACCTCAGACTTTTTATCCATCTTGAAATTTTCATCTTTGGTACTCATCTGAACATAGTATGTAGTGTGTGTGTTTTAATGATGTAGAACTTGCAGTGAATGAACAATTAAAGATAAAGTTCTGTAACTGAAACTCTAAGCTGCGCTTCCTCTAGCCAGGGTATTTTAATAAGACTCCAAGCTACAAAGTCCATTCTCCAGTTAATAATTAATATAGCTAAAATTGACTATTATTTGAATGGCTAAAAAGTAAATTAATTTTTATAATCTGCATTTTGTATCTACTTAACACATTCTTATTAATGGGCTATCAAACAACTTTCTGAGAGAAAGAGCACTAAAAATTAAGTTTCCAGAACTAATTTTTTCAAAAACAATAGCATTAACTTGCTGTTAAAATAATCAGTCGGTAGAGAAATAACATCACAGATTACAACAAATTATTATAGACCAATACGTACAATGACGTACCTACCAAAAAAACTTAGATTAAGGAAGTCAAGAATGTGGCGTGGTGGTCGTCGCAAGTTGTGCATTGGTTTTGAAACTTGTTTTTATTACAAAACAAAGGCACCTTTGAAATGGCAGCAAACTCTTAGTTGTTATAAATCTATTATAATTAGATGATATATTGCATCATTACCTATAACATGAGAAATCATTCTCCAGAATTTGACAGAAAATATTTTTTGATTTGTATTGAAAGCTTGCCATTCAAATGGAATATTTTTACAGAACTCTACTCAAAATATGGACACGAACCATAGCAAAGGGATAGTATTTGATTTTTTAAGGAGATGCCACATCTGAGCACTAAAGGAGTAGAATGGGAAAGGGGTAAAGCCCCCCATACCTATTTCTTAGTTACCCTTTTAGAATATGTGTTGAGTATGCAGAACGCCTGAAACATTATGGGGCATAGGCTCCCTCAAGTATAAATTCACCACGTTACGCCCTTTCTCGCCTATACCCTGTCTTACAAACGTTCATGGCAACATTTTAAGTTTAAAATAATCCATTTTATTCTGCTTTTAAAATTAGAGTTAATTTGTCTATTATAAACCTAATAAAATGATTATAATTGACTTTATAAAATTTAAAGAAAACATATTGCTACTGTCCAGGGCATCTCTTATATTGGTATTTTGATTTCAAAGCAGGTCATGAGCGTTTCAGAACTATACATTTTTTGTAAAAGTATCACAAGTGGTGTCATAATTTTATAACATACATTTATGAGATCGGAAATTAAATCTACTGATAGGTTTTTTTCTCGACTAAAGCATCAATTAAGTATAGTACTGGGCAGTGTACTGGTACTATTTAATAATCTAGGATAGAACAAATGAGACAGAGCAGTTGTACTGAGGTATTATAGTGTTTTAAAAATTAATTTTGTCTTTCCGCAACACCTTCAATAACAAAATCAATACTAAATTATGTAGGTATATATATTATACTTATTTGCATATTATTTATTTTTCTATGTATGTATCATACATATATAAATACACTCACAGGCATCAATACATATAACATGCCTATATGTATGATGTACTGAGATGTACACAGACTCCCATATGTATATAAATGTATATATATATTTAAATTTTCTTTTACACATTTAAGAGCTATGAACTAACACAATTTCTCAAATTTTCATAACTAAATTGTATGGAATTTTACATCAGTATATTTTAATACTAAATAAATGACATTACGGCATTTGATACCTATATTGTATCTGGATGATTATACAAATATAAGAATTTTTATGAATTTTTATGATTAAAATTATTAATTTCTAGTATGTAAATAATATTAGATGATATATTAAACAACAAAAACTGCAAAATCAATAATTTATTTTAGGATATAGATAGTCCATGTAAGTATAATATAAAATATAAATAATACATTAATACATACCACAGAAAAAAAAATGTAGAGAGACAAGAACATAATTTTAATTGTATACAATTTGAATGGTTTTCATATAATATCAAAAAAGAAACACTACATAATATGTAATATACATATATATTTATATATGAGTGTATCTATGTACATAAATATATAAATATATACATAAAAAAAAAACAACCAATTGAAATAAAAATCAAAGTTAGTATTAATAGTCTTGCATGTCATACAATTTGTATAATTAAATGATAAAAAAAGAAGAAAACAACATATTATTACTGTATATGTTTAACTAGCCACAAAACTATATAATCGTATCTATGCAAGTTTTATATATATATATATATATATATATGTATATATATTATGAATATACAATATTATTGTTAAATACTTTACACTTTTACACAGTTATACAGAGCTTCTAATAAAATAATTGTTCTCTATTATAACAACATTGAGCTCTAACTAATATTGTATCTATGCAACAGCTGCATCAGTATATTGTTAAATATTATTTAAAATTTTTTTGTTTAAGCATAAAAAAAAAACATTTACGTACTTGGTTATATAATATTCAGTATTCATGTATGAACAAGTATGGTCGTTGGCAATAAACGCGATGGGTTTATTATTATCATATTATACATATAAATAAATTACGTTACAATAACATAATACGCCAAAAGCGCAATATTTTTGTGGAACATCTTGCCAAACAATTTTGGGTTGCTATATTATGAAATATATACTAATTGATGTTAAAACGAAATTACAGGCTTCTATGTCTTATATGCATTGGTTTTTATTAATTGGGAATACGTGCCAATAACATGAATTGCCTGTGATAGTAACTAATTTGTACATAATTTTGAATAGTCATTACATTTGATTTTTATTAATTAACAATTCCAAATTAATGACTAAAATTAAATATATATTTTAATTTAAAAAGCGTGTTTTCTTTCCAATACTCGTATAGTCTTGAGAAAAGAGAGGAACCCTTGAGTATGACAAAAAAAAAATCAGTTTGGATTAACTTAAAATATACACGTCAAATAGAAAAAAATGTATATATATTATAAGTATAATATATAATAAACTAAATTAAAACATTTATACATTGGAATGAACGTTTTATTTTTGACAAATTTTTTCCATTTATTATTAATAGATTGCAACTATTATGAACAATAAAACAATATTGTTTTCACAAATAATAAACATTGAACCCATTAAAAAATATTAAAATAAAAAGATATGAAAGGACAGTATATTACAAAA